ACATATCACATGTTACAGAAATTTGTATCATTTTTGATACAGATTTTAATCTGTAACATGGATACGAAAATCTGTATCACGTGATACAGAATATCTTTGGGATTTTAAAATTGTAAGTCTTCATTTTGTTACTCTTCCTCCCTTTTCCCCCCTTCTTTTTATCAGGGGCGGACTGGGGGGTCAAGTGCCTGACCGTGTAAATTTAGCGTGGGGCCCCCGGTGTAGTGCGGGTTGCCTACCTCGTAGGGGCAACAGTCAGCTAAATGGCATTTAGACGATGTGCCTTTGGTCGGAGCTGTTGAAATGCAAACCGTTTAGTAACTATCAAAAAGTTCGACTCAGGTTAATGTTTAATGGCGCGCTGGGCCTCAATAGCAGATGCAATTAATGAAATAATTCGCGAGCGCAGCGAGCGAGATTTTTTAGTCATATAGCCTGAATTTTTGGCCATTTAATGCGAGAAACACAAGAAGGAATAGGTTACTTTCCCCTTTCCTAGAACTAGAATATTACTTGTAAGTCCGTCTAAGCCCAAAGGAAATTTGCACTTCTGAGCGAAGCGAGGGGGAAGCTAGAACGAAACCCGTGTGTTTTTACACCATTTTGTTCTAATTTTACATGGTAAATACGAAGTATTGTTGTTCTTAGACCGCAGATAATATTGAGAATAGACATATTCATGGTTAGCAGGGAGCAAAGTCGCTATTGTTTTGAGTGAGATTGGTAAGAAAGCGACCAGCAGCCCTGTCGGACAATTACTTGTTTAAAAGCGAAATAAGCGGAAATAAGTGCGTGGCCCTAAGGGCCCCACGGGGGCCCTCCGGGGCCCCAAGGGGCCCCGAGCAGGGGGGGCCCACCCGTTTTTCGCGCTCTACACGGGCGGGCCAGTCCGCCCCTGCTTTTTATCTAGGGGACTTAACTCCTAAGATTTCGTTTAATGTACCTTGTCTCACCGGGAGTTGAACCCCAGACCCTTGGATTAGGAAGTCGCGCCTTTACCCGCGCGGCCACCCAGGCTACCTGAGGAGAGGTTCGCTCGAACCCGGTGTAATGCCACCGGGGCTCCCGGAGACCGCGCCAACGAAGTTCTATAATTCTATATCCAGGGATACAGAAAATTGTATCCAACGTTACTTGATCTTGTATCTGTTACAGAAATTAGTAACATTTACGGAATTTTGTAACATTTTGATCAGATTACAGAATTTTGTACCCATGTTACATGTTTCCATATCACGAGAGCCTGATACAGAATTCTGTATCAAATTTGATACAGAATTCTGTATTATTTTTTAGAGTGTAGATAAACCTAAATACTTTCTTTTATTTTTGGAAGCTTTTAAATAGGCAGATTCTTTTTTTTCCGTCTGTAGGTCAGAAGATAATTGGTACTCTTCAGATTTTTTCTGAGCTTGTTTTAAAACAAGCTTAGGGTCAGGGTGGGGAAAAATGAGACACCTCAAACTTGGGGAAGAATGAGACGTCCTCTCCTTGTTTGAAGTTTCCATGGTTTTAGACCTAAAACGCAAAAGCTGAAGCTCGTATCTTATAGCTTGGACATATAACTTCAAATATTTAGGGGCCCTGAGAAGTAATATCACTTCTGCTTGTAATGAAAACGGACGAAAGAGATGCCTGTCGGATCAACTGTGCGCAAGGCCTTGAAAACTTTCCTGCGGAGGTGTTATACTTTCAATACTGCATCAGTTATCTAAGGACGTAATGTAAACTGGTTAGGTTCGTTGGAAAGCTGAAACTCTACCGATTCCGTAGAGCTATTCGTATAACGTACAGCATGTAAAAGTAGGCCGTCCGATGAGGAAGCAGTTAGGGGGCAAGAATGAGACACTCGTGCGGGGAAGAAAAAGACACCCAGGCCCATTGATTTACATGGGGAGGCAATGTGGGGAAGAATGAGACAGAAAATGAAACGGCGCTGTCTCGTTGTTCCTCATTTGCAGGGATGCCATACTCTTAATACTACACCCGTACTTTTAGTAGAAAGGATAAAGTGTTATATCGTTAGAAAGCTGAAACTCTAGCGATTCCATTCAGCTTAACAGTTAACCCGGAATTTTATCCCAAAGTGTTATATTTGCCGGTTTTGGATTGTCTCATTCTTCCCCGAGTCTGTCTCATTTTCCCCCGAAACGCAGGTAGCCGAAAAGCCGCATTATATCCTGTTTCCTGCTCACATTAGAGGTTGTGGCATTAAAATTACGTCTTGATTTCATTACAGGGACTATGTTCCATCAACCATAGGCAGTAGGACGTATCAAAAGACTATTTTTATGCTTGAAAAGACCAAAGTTCGCGAAATGGCTCATTTTTCCCCGCCCTCACCCTAGATATTGCTTGCGGTAAAGGGGACTTCTTGTGTTACTTTACTTAGATTTGGTCACAATTTTAATTCGTACTTTTCAGAAATTTTTTCGCTCGTTTAGCTCGCGATGACTTATAGGATTTCCCTTTTCACTTAGCTCGTGGTCCCAATTTTAAAACAGAGGTTCCAAAATTTTTTCGTTTGCTTCGCTCGCGACGCGACAGCTTCTTTTAACTGGCTCTGGACCACCAGAAGCATTTTACAAGTGTCCATCACCAATTTGAAAAACGGGGGTTTGTTCTTTCAAATTTGGCAAATTTTTATGTACTTCCCCCTGTGAGTTAGGCAACCAACAAGCGAACAAGACACATTCAGAAAAATGCCCCCCCTATAACCTTTCGCTGGATCCGCGGCTGCTCGTACCCGACCGACATAACCCTGATTCGGGTACTTACGCCCTCTGCACCAAGGGGGGTGGTGAAGAGGGGCGGCACCTTGACCAATGGTGAGTACTTACCATAGGTAGTCACCACGCACCGAGTCGCCGTCGCCGGCAGCACGGCCCGCTAATGCAAGCCCGATAACGAAGTACCCGCAAAACGCGCGAAAAGTGACACGTCGCGATAAATGCGATGCGCCTATGGTTTCGCGTATCGCAGAAAGGTGTGGTAGGGCTCGTTGTAACCGCAATGACTTGTTCTATCATCTGGCGGGGGCCGTGACAAAATCCGTGACCTGACCCCTAATTTTGGAACGGCCTAGCGGGCGGTTTAAGGTATAAAGGCGCCCGGGCCGTCCCCTTCTCCCCCACTGGGCGGAGTGAGGAAGCGCCCGGGGAGAAGTGGAGGGTGGAGGGCAGGCGGGGAG